AGGGTTTAGGGTTTACGGTTCCTTTAGGGCTTCGTTGAAGGTTTGCTTAGGGTTCTATAAGGGTGACCTTTGTTCCTTGAAGGGTTACTTCCTAATGATGAAGTTCAGAAGGGGTTGTGTAGGCCCTAGGCCCCAAAACCTAAGCCCCTAAACCCCTAAACCCTACCTAAGCCTAAACCTGGAGGCCCGCCGGATGAGCCCTTACAAAAGCCCTAGCAGACCAGTATCCTTCCTTACCTTGGGTTCCCTAGTCAAAACCCCAGGCTCAGGGTTTAACCTAACCCCCCAAAGCTCATAAACCCTAAATCCTGAACCCTAAGCACGTAAATTCTCAGTGGTTTTTGCTGGTTTGGGTTCCTTCATCTGTGAGGCCCCGATGACTGCGATACATTGCAAGAAGCCTCGCCACTTGAAAGAGCCACCCTAAACCCCTAAACCTTAAACTACCAAAACCTACTGTTTTGTAGGTTCTTGCTATAAAACCCGAATATGGAGTTTATAGGGACCCTACAAAAAAGTTGGTAGGTGAAAGTAAATGGTAGGTGAAGGTAGATCTCAAACCCTCTTCGCACTCACTTTGGGAGCCCCCTAAACCCTAAACCCTAAACCCCTAAACCCCTAAACCCCTAAACCCCTAAACCCCTAAACCCTAAACCCTAAACCCTAAACTCTACTAGAGCCTGCCAGTCTCGACGGAAAACCGGTGGCTTCGAGTTTCTTACGCCAAATGGGGGTTTCCAAAAACAGGGGACCCTGATATAGTACCCTAAATAGTAGGATCCCTATTATAAGGACCCCAAAGTAAGGTACCCCCTTATTTTCGGAAGCTCCCAAATTAAATACAAAAACATGGCTACCCGAAGGCTCTTGTTGCTGTTATGGGCCTTCTAGGGGAAGGTTTGCGCTTTGGGGGCTAAGGTTTGGGCTTTCACTATGGGGTTCCATGAGCCGTAGGCATAAGTTCCAGAGGGGGCACTTCTAAACCCGAAACCCGAAACGCTACCAGCACCCCTCAAACTACCCTCTATTATATCCTGAATACCCACAAATAGGGACCACTCTATTAAAGGGTACTTGGGGGGGTGCTGGTAATGTAGGGCCCTTAGTAATTAGAATAGGGTTTGGGTGTATATTATACCATAATTATGATAGGGAACCCCCAAAACCTATTCTAATTATTAAGGCCTCTACATGAAACCCCAAACCCCAAACCCCTATGGTGAGGACAACCATCTGATCCTCTGCGCCGGGCCCGAACGCTCTGGCAGTACCTGGCCGCTTTGGCTGGCCTTAGCAGGGTTCGGGGTTTAGGGGTTAGGGCTTACCTGTAGCCTCAAAAACCTACCTTTTACGGAACAGATATAGAAACCAGAATAAAACAAAAAACCTGAAAAAGTAGATTTTCCGGGCCGCAGGCAGGATCTAGCGGTTGCATCGGGGTTTATTCGTTTTTTTTAAGCACTTGGGGAAGCCTACTCACTCCGAGGCTTTACAATGCCATTCGGCTTCTTTACTTGGAGGCGAGAGCGCCCTGGCAAGCAGGGGAGCTGTAATGTAGGGGCCTTAATAATTAGAATAGGGTTTTGGGGTATATTATACTATAGTAATATAGGAACCACCAAAATACCATTGGTTTTTATTTAGGCTTGTATATTAGCTCGATGTTCCCAAGGATGAGAGGGTTTGGGTTTAGAGTTTGGGATTTAGGGGGTTTTGAGCCTACTTTTAGCCGTAAACTCTATTTTCGAAACCCAAGGTTTTACAACCCGTAGATGAGGTAGTCGAGCAAATGCAAGCTGGCTTTCCCAAAGCAGAGAACTACACGAGACATGCGATAGTACG